TCCTGTCCTGTCCTGTCCTGTCCTGTCCTGTCCTGTCCTGTCCTTTCTCTTTCCCATGCAGACAGCAAGGCACAGACAACCTTTCTTGAACTGGGTGTTACTGTTACAGCTAGCTCATATTTTGCATTATTTCAGAACTCTTGGGAGAATTCCATCTGCTGCTGGTGATTTATGAGTTTAATCTATCTGTTTGCTTTAAATTGTCCTCCAAAGATGGTTCCGTTTGTGTCACTTCTTCAGATTTATTGTCTTCATGGGGAACAATTTGGATCTATTTTGCCAACCTTGCCTTTGTCTTAGACAGATGCAAAGCAGTCATTTAACTTCTCTACAATATTTCTGTCTTCCTTAAGTGCTCTTTTTACATCTTGATGGTCTAATGACCCAAACCATTCTCTGGCAAGCTTCCTGCTTCTAATGCAATCCTTTTAACATTCTTCTCCTTGGCTTTTATATCTCTATCTAGATTCTATTCTTTTTTTCTTTCTTTCTTTCTTGGCCCAACCTTATTAGGCATTTTATTATGCTTAGTATTTCAATTCTTTGAGGATTTTTCCCCACATGGGCAATAGTTCTAATTTTTTTTCCTAAGGGACACACTTTTTAAACTCTGTTTAGTCGCACTAATACTTTCTTTGAAAGCGTCTTTGAAGAAGTGCATGCAAGCTCAGATCTGCCAAGTTGTACATAGGTTTGTGGACAGTTGTTTGGATCTTTCTTCTTAAAGGATTATTTACAATTTGTCTTACACCTAAACAACAACAACAATTGTAGATGTTGAGAGCTACAGATATTGACTTTCATGTCAAGCTCTACAGTACTGTTGGCTGAACTAGAAGTAAACAGGAGCAGTTTGAAGCCATCAGTTTTAATTATCTTGAGTGCTTACAGTAGAAAGGTGATGTTTAAATCCAGGCTGCAAAACCCTGGCTTGCTCTGCCATTACAGAAAGCATAGCAAGAACAGTCAAGAACAGAACTGGGGAGTTTGTAGCTCCAACATAATGGAAAGAAGCTTCTAAAAAAGCTTCAAAGCTATTCAAAGCTGAGTTGCAAAATAAAAGAAAATAGATTTTCATATCCATAGGCACTTTTGGAGTCCTCGCAAAGCAACTCACAAATATATTAAACCAGGCTTCCTCCAGCATTGTCCTCCAGCAATGTTGATCTTCAAGAGCCTCGAATTCCCAGTTGGCATGATTTTGTGAACCTGAAGGCCCACACATCTGGAGGGCACGAGGTCTGGGGAGGTTGCAATCAATCAACTGACAATTAAAGTCAGTTTTAAATGGAGAGTTAATTAGCAGAAGTGGCAGGAGCAGCTTCAGCAAAACCTGAGAATAAACAACTTATGAAACACTCAGATGGATCTGGTCAAATGCCTATTTAGCACAGCATCCTTGCTCTGAAAGTGGCCAGTGCTCACAGAAAAGTCATCCAGTAAGGATACAAGCATTATAGTGTTGTTCTGTTTCTTTGCTCAACAACTGAAATTGAAAAAGATACTGCTTCCAAAACTGGAGGTAATATATCATCACGAGCAGTAACTGTGTCTTATTTTTGATGGATGTCCTTGACCTTCATCAATACTTGTAGGTGGTCCTCCAACTGATGACACTGAAAATGTAGGGTAAGTAGTGGGAAAACATGGCCCATCTCTATGGAAGCCCATAGACTTCTCCCATAGAAGGGAGTCCTTCATTTGAATCCAGGGAAATACATGCATCCTGCTGCCCATTAGTCTTTTAGTAACTGCCTCTTATTATCAGGGATTGATTCCTGGAACCAGGTTTTGAACAGATCATCTTTCCCTCATCTGGGATTAAAAACAGGGCTTCTTCTGCAAAAGGAAGTTTCCTTTGCCTCGTCAAATTGTTATGTGTGCTTTGTCTAATATCTTTACTATTCCCTTGGTTGCATGCTTAATTCCAGATCCCCATTAGAGTCAGTTGACTCTGTGCCCTGCATACATCTGTTGTAACATAAAACTGGCTATACTTGGCCTCAGTCTTGTGGTGGTTGATAGTTAATTCAGCCTTTTTTCCCCCACAATAATCACTGGCACTGGATTATTCAGCAGAAAGCAGAGAAGCTGGTTTGCATCTCAAAATTCCCCACCAAAAGGAAATTTCTCTTGGGGAGATTTCATCTTTTTAAAAATCATCATTCTTTCCATGCCTGAGGTCATCTCTGCTTCATATCCCGTTCCACTTCATTGTTTATGGTTTTTTTAATTGTGTCGGAAGAATAGGTAATTTCTCTGATTTATGGACCCATAAGGATGGTAGGGAATTGGGAGGAGAAATAAGAGGTAGAAGCTGCTTCTCTCTATGAAAAGCAAACATTAGAAGCAATAATCACAGCTTTGTTCTCTACCAAATCCAGAGAGACAACAAACTCTAAGCTTTGGTACTTCAGTGAGTGTTTGCAAGATGGGCATTTTAGCCTGCTGAAAACAACTTCCAAATAAAACAAATTGGGATGAAAAACACAAACTGTCTTTTTAGAACGCCAATATGTGTCCAGGCCCACACAGCATTATACATCTGAATTACAGAGGCACAAAGTAGACTTATTAACATAAGCGTTGTTTGTAATCTCTAAAGTCTCTGAAAGTCATACCCAATTGAACCGATGAAGGCAGATTGTTTCTAACAATGTCCTGGGTTGTCAGAAGAAATCCAGTTCTATATTGGCTGTGAATGTTTGACAAATGCCACAGGGATCAAAAGCTTATTTCAATTACTCCTGAACTTTGCAATGCTTGTGGCAATCGTTGCTAATCCCTTTCTCCTTAAAAATAAGCAGTGCCTTTCGTGTCCAGATCCCTTCTCAGGCTTTATCCCAACCACAGCTTTATGAACAAGCCATATGTTCTTGTCACAGGTGAGAACTAAGCAACCTTAGTCATTTCAGAATTCAGACGGCTGAGAATCAGATTACAAGGGAAGCAAGCTGCCCCAGTCAAGTAGCAATTTCTCCATATTGCTGGAAACATGCCAGCGCCAAAGTTTTTAAGACGGCCGCATTCAACTGTAAGGTCCCAAGATTTATAGAATAATGATGCCAGCTGAATCTATAAAGCAGGAGTCAGTAGGGCTGAAATGTCAAATTTCTGTTTAATTTATTGTGGGGTTGGGGTCTTACGGAGCAAAATGGGTGCTTTGGGTCTTGCAGAAGCTTAATGCATCCATAGCACCACTTAAAAAAAAAAAAAATCCAAATGGGGTTAATTATTCCAACAAGGAGGGGAAATGGAAGCTTGCTTCCTGCAGCCCAGACAGAGCCAGGTCAAAATAGGTTGTCCACCTTTGCTACAGTCCAGTGTTTCTCAACCTCGGCAACTTTAAGATGCGTGGACTTCAACTCCTGGCTGGGGAATTCCAGGAGTTGAAGTCCACGCATCTTAAAGCTGCCAAGGTTGAGAAACACTGTTGTTGTTGTTTAGTCGTTAAGTCGTGTCCGACTCTTCGTGACCCCATGAACCATATTGCGCCAGGCCTTCCTGTCCTTCACTGCCTCCCTGAGTTTGCTCAGTTTCATGCTCATTGCTTCAGTGATGCTATCTAACCATCTCATCCTCTGCCGTCCTCTTCTCCTTTTGCCTTCAATCTTTCCCAGCATCAGGGTCTTCTCCAAAGAGATCTCTCTTCGCATTAGGTGACCAAAGTATCTGAGCTTGAGCTTCATTATCGATCCTTCCAATGAGCAATCAGGGTTGATTTCCTTTAAGATTGACTGGTTTGACCTCCTAGCAGTCCAGGGGACTCTCAAGAGTCTTCTCCAGCACCACAGTTCAAAGGCATCAATTCTTCGGCGCTCGGCAGTATCTGAGCTTGAGCTTCATTATCGATCCTTCCAATGAGCAATCAGGGTTGATTTCCTTTAAGATTGACTGGTTTGACCTCCTAGCAGTCCAGGGGACTCTCAAGAGTCTTCTCCAGCACCACAGTTCAAAGGCATCAATTCTTCGGCGCTCGGCTCCTGCAGCCCAGACAGAGCAAGAAATTTTACACTTAGAGTAATTTACTCCATTCTTTGGTGATTAATCTTCATGGATTCTCTAAAACCTCTAAAGCCTTCTGTACCTCATACTTTCTGGACTTCAGCTCCCGGCTCCCCCAGGCAGTGACCATGTTATCTGAAATTATGAGGTTTGAAATCCAGCACATCCAGAGGTTACCAGATTGGGGTAACCTACCTTATAACTTCTCCCCCCTTCTTTTCTGGCCTTGATGGAAGTGGCAGTTTTGTTCCTACAAGTCAGACCACCCAAAACTAAAATTGTAGAACTCGTGGCAGTTTGAAGTGGCAGTTGAAAGAAGAAATCTCCACATCTCCCCTCCCCAAGGATTAAGTGCAACTCCCAGCATGTTGCCTCCACCCAATATAAAACCAGTTTCTTTTTTTCCCCCCATTTTAGCACACCTAAGCCCTGCCCTTGCATCCAATTCCTCCAGGCAGTTTATAGTAACAATTAAAATACATGCAATTTAATACCACCAGATAAAAAAGAGTTCAGGAGCAAGCAGGCAAAATCTAACAAAATAGGGCATTTAAAAAGTTGGTGGTTGCACTAGGACAAGCCCCTGCCCAGTGATAAATGTTTGTGTGTGTGAATAATCCCCTCCAGCAGTTATTAATAAGTTGCTATGAGAGAAAGGTGGTTCTATTTGGATATTCTGGTTCTAAACTCTGGATTTAAGCAGAAAAGTTATGGTAGAGCAGTTGAAATGGACTTGGTCTTCATCCAGAAGAAAAATAATTTCTTTCTCCTGAACATCATTTGGTAGCCACTTTTAGGTTCTAATTTGTCACTAAATCAGCCAGCGTGGTCCTTTTCTGGACAATTGAACACTGTAGCCATAAGCACACAGCTGTTCTTTTATTTCTTTCAAGGGATACAAACATCTTCCTGTAATATTACAGTACCATGTCACCCCACCCCATTGCACCCCTATCCTGAGCTCCAAAGGCAATATTTTGTTACCAAGGCAAAGGTTGGAAAGAAACTGAATTATCTGCCAAATTAATTTAGCTGCAGATGTTTAGATATAGCAGGAAGCAATGTTGTTCAAAATCGCACGGCATGGTTAGACAATCTGTATGATACCATTGGGCAGAGTTCTTTAACCTCTGCATTTTGAACTCAAATTTCATTTCTTTGTATCTCTGTTGCTGTCATCTCCATCAACAGCTGGAGCATCCATTCCAAACAGGTTGGAAAAGCAGTGGTTCTAATTACTACACATATGGCTTTTCTTTCGTCAAAAATCTGCTATTTTAAGAAAGCCTATTCTTCCATTGTTCTACGCCATTGTAGATACAAGGTGCCTTCTTTAGTTACATGAAGATTGTACTAAAATCACACTGACTCTGTTTTTCCGCAGGAGCCTGATACCTTGGTAACCATCAACCGAGGGGCCCTGATTGGCCTCCTGATAGTAGCAGTGGCTGTTGCCATGGTGATTATCATCAGCCTCCTGATGGTTCGCCGAAAGCCATATGGGACCATCAGCCATGGCATTGTTGAGGTACCTTTGGAAAATACTATCTGCTTTTGGAGTGCAGACAAACTTCTGGGATTGCAGGCTTTGAGAAGAATTTCAGGCTCCATAAAAGCTTTTGAATGCTTTCACCCATGTCGGGTTTTCTCCACTCTCTTTATTTATCTGTCTGGGAGTAGTGGCATGTGGAGAAGAGTACCGTCTGCTGCCTTGATGCACTGCAGAGCTCGAAAGCACATGGTGGCCTCCCAGGAACTGTGGGTGTTGTAGTAATTCCTGGAGCCTCCCTCTTGGTGCATTGTTCACCAGGATGGCAGACACACAGGGGAAGGGATTCCATGAAATGATATCAACAAGAAGGGAAGACATGCTTGGATAGGAGCTAATGGAAAGGGTTTCTGAGAATCGGGGGAATTGACTGGGATGGTATTGGCATATCCTTAATAACTCTACTCATCGATATTCTGAGCTACAAGCATGTTGGTAGAAGCTTGGTGGACTCCCATTGCTTGGCCTAACCCTCTTCTCTTTTTGCAGGTGGATCCCATGGTTAGCCCGGAGGAGCGGCAGTTGAGCAAAATGCAAAACCATGGCTATGAAAACCCCACTTACAAATTCTTTGAAGAGATGAACTGAGTTCCTTGGGGGCTGGGGGTTGTGGCATGACTGGGGTGGTGGGCATGACCATGTGGATGGAGGGGATGGCATCTACAATGGGAGAGGGGTAGGTTCCACCCAGAGCCCTTTTCTCTTTCTGTGCCCCATCTGAGCCTTGCTCCTACCACCTCGTCCACCTTGTTTTTGTTCTTCCATTTGCCATATTCCTCCTGCCTCACACTTTCTGGGCTTTATAGCTACTGCTACTAGCCTACTACTTGCCATTTCTCCCACATCTTCAATTTCACTTCTCAAGGTTTAAATGGCTATATAAACACGCACACGATGGTTGTGTTCATACAACATGCTTAACCAGCTTTGTTACAAACCTAGGGGCTACATTTCCAGAAGCACTAAGCTTGGTTCATTTTAATCTTGCTTTGTCTTTTTTTTTTAATGGCTTAGCATGTTGGGCAAACGCATCCTTTTTGATTAGTTTCTGATTTGATGTACTGTGGAAGCCCACCACATTGGATAATTCAGTCATCAGGTTCAGCATGTTGTGTGAAGCCAGGCAAAAACACCAAGCTGCCAGCATCAGGGTTCTTCTCTTGTATTTTAGCCAACTTATCTGAATGGGTAACTGCATGCTGTGGAGAGAATCATCATGCAACCTGGGGGCACCAAAAGCCACACCATACACCCTTAAAACTTGTATGTTCAAATCAGTAACCAGTGCTCATTTATTGTGGGACTTTCACATGTGCATCATCTGAACTCACACAGGGCCAAATCTCATGTTAAAATGGCAGCCCACAACACAGTATCCCAATATCCATACATCGCTTCAGAACCCCTAGATACACACTTCACATGGTTTTCCATGAAGCAGTAGGCACTACATATTCCATGGCACTCATTTGTGACTCCACTTTGCAGGGATTTTCTTAAAAAATGGAACACCTCCAGCATACATGTCAGACAAGGGGTACCATTGCACGCTAGAATTGCCCATTGCTAACCTGGCTTGCCTCTGGCATAGAGACCAAATTCCATCTCCACTTGCTTGCCTTTTTCTGTCTCTGCTTATCTTATGCTTCCTTACTACACTGAACTCCTCACTCGTTGCACTTAATTTATTGGAAAGCCAGCTAAAGAGGGTAGCCTGGGGTAAGTTAGCATCCATCAGCACTTTACTTGACTAGTTTGGAGAGGGGAGATATGAGGATTGAAGCTCTTTTCTTCCATGCAGACACATTCTGTTCCTTCCTCTTTCCCCCTCAAAGTATGTAAAGGATAAAAGCAGATTTGCTGAACACTCTGGCTATGTTCACACAGTTCAGTTAACCAGTCCAATTACAAACCTAGCAGCCGCTGAATTCACACAATATGCTAAGCTGAGTTTAACTTGTTTGATTTGGGTAGCTTAACAAGTTATGTGACTCATTCTTTTATGGTTCAGTGATTTGTGCAAACCCAGAAAACAGGTTAATTCAGGAATGAAATTAAGCTTGTTGTGTGAGCACAGCCCATAAGGCTGGTCTTTCCCCAGCCCAGAAGTTCAGGAGCTGGGAAGTAAGTTCCGTTATAGGGCTAAGCTCATAAGCATATATACCTGTTTGTTGTTATTTGTTCCTTACAGTGGGAAGGTTTTCTTCCAGTAGCAATTTGCCACATGTCTTGATCACTTTACAAAGTATCTTCTGAGAGCGGCCATCCCAGGATCCCAAATGGGGGAAGATAGGGAGCCAGTTGGACCATCTCTGGTGCCATCTCTGCCAAATGCTCTGTAACCTTTAGCAGCTACTAGACAGAATGGTGTGGAGTAATAGTCCTATTATTGCCTTTGGGTTGAACCATTTTGCTATTTTTTTCTTGGGAGGTGGACTAAGGAAGATACCTATAGTAACAGGGTTCTTGAGATCACTCAGAAGAGGTAACCTTAGAGATGCTTTTGTTTTGGTCCCCCTTAAGCCATAATCCAGCCTTCTCCAATCTGGGTGCCGCAGAATTCCCCAGCTAACACAGACACTGCTGAAAATTCTGGGAGTTGAAATCCACACATCTGGAGGATGGCCAGGTTGGAGAACCATGAGAATTGGAAAGGGACCATTCAGGCCTGCTGTGTGCAGAAATTCAAACAAGCATCCCTAGCAGATGATCATAAAACCTCTGCCCAGCTACATCCAGTGAAAGGGAGCCCACCACTTCTTTGGTGAAGCTGGGATAATTCTTTGGAGAAATCCCTGGGCTAAGAACCACACTGGAGAGACAAAAGAAATCAGTTCTTTTCTCACTTTCATGTAGTGAAGAAAGTTACTTTCAGAGTCAATAATCTTCAGGGGTGGGAGGCCCTCACCCTCACAACCACCATACTCAATGTCTGAGAAAAAAGAATGTAAGGCTTTCTCCCCTGAATGCCTTCTGCTGTGTTTCATAGTTACCTTCTTGTGCCCTGCCCTGTTTACCTACTAGATCTTGTTTGTTTTTAAGCTGAGGTTTTTGAAATCAAGAGGCAATGTCAGAAAGACAAACCAGGAGATGGAATTCAATTGCCAGCCCTCCCACCAAACTAATAAAATATTGTCACTTCTCTAAGCGTGGTGCTGGACCTGGACTTTTCAATGAATGGGAATATTGGAGGTGGATGGGAATGGGAATGGAAAAGAAATTGCGGTAAGAGGGAGAGGTGGGTCACTCTGCTGGAAGGATGCAGAAGAAGTTCAAGGGATAACTCTAGAAGGCCAAGTAAGTTCTCACAAACATTGGAGGCCTCTTTCTACATACAGTAAACAGCATGTGGCTGTCATGACTTTAAGGAAAAAGGAAGAGAAACGTGCTCCAGCTAAAGCTTTTGCACTACCTTACACCATTTAGCTCTCCTGTACAGTTGTAAAAATGCCTGCATTAAGGAAAAACCTGCATACATTATTAAGAGAAAACAGGCACATAAAAAAAAAATGTTTGGATAATTTGGCGGCAAAAAGTGTGGATGTTAGAAAAGGGGCATTTAAAATGGGTATATCTGGAGAGTACATGAAACTGGGCACACATTTTTGATTGATTGCCAAATTTGCAAGCCTTTTTTAGGAATAGGTCAGCCCCAACGGAAAAAGTGAGAGAACTTTTACAACTCCCTATTCTTTTGGCTTTTACACTCCTATTTTTCTAGCCTGCTTCATGGTTCTCTGATTTTCCTTTCTCCCCTATTTGTTAGTGTAAGCCCTAATTGCTATAACCAAATCATGGTTTGTGTAAACCTAATTTGGAACCCAGGGCAACTTATGGTTTGGCCAAATCTGAGATGAGGGAAGATCTCTTAACAGATGATTGGGAAGTCATGAAATTGAAATCAGCATATCTCAGTCAAATTATATCCTGGACATGATCTTCAATAATCTTTGAGCTTGACACCATTAACATCCAGTCATGATTTACAACTTTGATACAGCAATCCTTGATCAAGTATCATACAGTAGTGCTTTCAAAATCATGTTGGATATGTTAGTTGATGAAGGTAGACCTTATGTTCAACTCCAAATGCTGGGCATTTCATGGCAACCCCCTGGGTTTTTCAAAGGGACATCAGAAAAATGAGCAAGATCCTCCAAAGGAAAGTGAAGCTTGATGGGATTATAATCCAGCTGTGTGACACACATGCAAGGTCTCTGAGAGGATTCTAGGTAAAGGAAATATAGGTGATCTCCTTAAGAAAGTCCAGCTCTTCAAATAAAAATGTGGTTTTCCCCTCTTCTAAATGGTTGCTTTTTTTCCCTCAAAAATTGACATTGGTTGTTGGGGTTAACTCAGAGACCCCAGTACCTCTCCTTAGCTTTAGGTTGTGGTGAGCCATTTAATCTATAGAATGTGCTGTGTAACCCAGTGTTTCTCAACCTTGGCAACTTTTAAGATGTGTGAACTTCAACTCCCAGAATTCCCCAGTCAACATGGCTGGCTAGGACATTCTGGGAATCGAAGTCCATGCATCTTAAAGTTGCTAAGGCTGAGAAACCCTGGTCTAACCCATTAACCTAGAGCCATTCTCATCATAAGTTCTTGCCATGAAGCCCAAGCCCTTCTGTTGGAGCCATTTATCCACCAGAAAAAAGCCCCATAGATTGTGCCGAATAGCTGGGTCTGTCCACCATTTTAATTCATCTTGAGGTAGCAGTACTCTTGAGAGATTGTGGGAAACTGAAGTGGCAGCTAGGCATAGATCAGTGTTGTCCAAACTTGGCCACTTTAAGATGAGTGGACTACAACCCCCAGAATCCCCCGGCTAGCCATGCGGGCGGGGGAATTCT